ATATATATATACACACATACAGACACACACACACACGCACATCTATGTATGTATGCATACACACCTCCATCAGACACCATGCTCCAAATAAAGTAGAGGTGCGATGCCACAAACCGGGCACACCCCATTCACCCTCCAACTATGTTGAAAGTGTGCTGCCGCACCAGCCCAACCCGCGTTCTTGGCCATCACAACGCAGCTGTGTTGGAGGTGCGCTGCCTCATATCGGATACCTCCATGACCAAGCCCCGTTCTGAGACATTATGCTCCAGGGGCGAAGACGACTGGCCCGCAGGCTTTGTTGTCCTCTCACTTGTATGGTTCATGTGGCATGTTTTCGGGGCTAAAGCAAACTCCGGAAGCCATCCCTCCCCGGGTCCGGACTCCGGACGTGTCACGTCTCGCCTTCTTCTGTTGGCCTTGGGTGTTGGCTGCTATCTCCGTCGTCTCCGGCAGTATTTCTATGCATGCTTCTTGCTTCTATTGCATGTGGTTGGTATTCGGCTATTGAATATTGTGTCTCGATCGCAGTTGGCAACGCACAAACAAGCAAACCGTCAACATGCTGCGGTGATGTCGTAGGAGCCTGACTTGGGCCCGCAGGCACATCCGTCTGAGTGGACGACTCCAGCTGCCGAAGCTGATCTTTCTTTCGAGATCAGTTTCGTCAGCTTTTTTCGCAACTGTTTCACGACATTGCGGGAACCGGTCAGCTTCCCGGACCGCTGGCCATCCAGTTTCTTGATCTCTGCACGAAGTCGCTCGTCCGATGTGGTTGACTCTCTATTTTCGCGCCCGTCTGCCTTTTTCTGAGGGTCGCAGGCTTTGGCGGTTCAACTCGGTTCTGCCTGCAGTACAGGGTTTCTGTTTCCACCTGCAATGGAAGTCCTGTCATCCTTTACACCGGTCTCCTTCCAGGCCGCATTGAGGGAAGAGTGGCAAGTCGGGAGCCACCAAACTCTCACGGCGCCCCTTGAAGGGTTCCTTTCAAGGTTGTATACAGTTTCTAAGGTTGGAGAGTTTTCAAAGTACCCTAAGCCCCCAACAGGTTCTATAGAGATTCTAGGGTGGAGGGTTGTCGAACTACTCCGAACCATCAAGGTTGAGGGTTTTCGAACTACCCTAAATTCCGAGGTTGAGGATTTTCGAAATAACCTACTCTAGCGGTTCTAGAGAGACTCTAGGTTTGAGGGTTTTCGATGTACCCTAAGTCCCACAGACAAGAGCGGAGGAGAGCTTGGAAGGTGTACAGTCCATGCTCCAGACGACCCTTCGGTTCCAAAGACGTCTGGGAGCGGGAAGGCCCTGAAAGACCAGCAATCGCAAAATAAGATTCTTGGCGGCAAAGCCTTAATCCAGTCCACCAGGGTGTCCAAATGTGCGACTGAGAGTCAGGCTTTAGCTTGCCACCGGCGGCGGTCCTGCCAGCTCTGGCACCCTGCCTTGTCCTGCCGGCTCTGGCACTCTGCCTTGTCCTGCAGGCTCTGGCACTCTGCTTTCTCCAGGCTCTTGGTGACCCGGTGGCGGTCCTGGAGGCTCTGGCACTCCGGCTTGTTAGCCCCAGCGATTCTCTTTCGGAGCCCTGGGCAAAGAAATTCGCCATGGCCTCCCGTTTCATCTGCTGGCACTGAGCGTTCAGGTCGATGCCCTCTCTGATTTTTTCCAGGCGGTCGACATCCTTTCTGAGCTGACCCAGGATTTCTGCGGCGCTCCATGCCTGAAACTGATAAAACATCGCAAACGGTAAATCCAGAATCTAAGCCTATCCTTTTCGGTCCGAAACCCTAAACCCTGCATCCTGAACCCTAGACTTCCCTCGAAGAGAGGCAGCAAGCCATTAGTCAAAGCAGAGAGAACACGAGAGCTGCCGGGTTCGCACGGGGATCTTCGCCGGAATGCAGGTGTCTGCTCTCAGTTAGGATAAATTGTTATCGCAGTGTTCTAGTATTGTTAGGCTTGTGTTTCTATGGTCAGCGTAAACCCTGATCTTAAACTGCTTAGAGCCTGGGGCTCATGGATTCCAATTCGTAGGTTTCAGGGTTTAGAGCTCAGGGGGTGGATCGCGGTTGTGGGGGAAGCTCGCAACTCGCAACATGCAACCATCAGCAGGTGTTAATGGCGGCGGATTCTTGATTCAGGGCGCTTTAGGTTTCGGCTCACGCATAAGGAATTGGGGTGATCTGGGGATTTTAAAAAGACGCCCCATATGTTCTCCCAAAGCCGAGGCCTTTGGGGCTTCAAGGATTTGGGCTTTATTTACGGCAGGCTCTCGGGGCTTAGGGCTTGAGGCTATGGGGCTTAGATTTGAGCCGCCTACCTGCCAACATCTTGCGCATATCAACTAAACCCAAGCTTCCTCCTGACCCAAACCCCATTTCTAGATACATCTTCCCAGACCTCACACCTGAAATGTACGCAGTCTCTAGCTCTGAATCGCTGCACAGGGAACACAAGATCAACAATACGAAGGAGCACACTAATGCGTGGTGGCAATAAGAAGACCAACAAGATTGATAAATGCGACAGCCATAGTCAGATCGATAAGAATATTCATGATACGAACTACTTCCTGCGAAAATATGAGCAACAACAATAACAACAAAAACAAGAAAGAATGATCATGATTGTCCTTGTAAAAACTCTCTGGCCTGGGGGAGGCACAGAGAAAGCCCTGTGCCGGCGGCGGTGAGCAGGACGGCGCAGGTGGCTCCTTACGAGAAACCCATAGTGTCACATAGAATTTGCAGGAAGGTTTCATAGAGGAGCATTGGGTTCGATAGGGTTCAGAGGGGTATATGAGGATTTCATATCGGGGCATGAACACATAAAATAAGATTTGGGGTCTAGTATAATAACTCATTCTGATTAGGGATGCTTGCTGCTAAATCCGCGTGGCCGGTGGCAGCAGTTGCATGTTGAAAAACAACTGGTCGAGACGCGGGCCGACAGGCTCCTGTCCAAAGATGCGAATCAAGATTTATTCCAAGCAAGTTGGAAGTCACAAGCCATCCAGCCAAACCCAAACGTCAAGGCACCCCAGAGAGCACGACGCAGGAAGACTTCCAAGAGCAAATCAAAGGTTCCACAGCGATTCCATCGCCGGCGGGCTAGATCGTCGTGCATTCCACGAGCATCGAAACCTTTTTGTAGAAGGCGATGTCAGTTGTGCTGCAACCCTCCGATTCCGGCAGCTCAGGTCCCGTGGATTCCACTGAGGCTTTTACGGTTGTCCCTTCAGGGTTTTCAGCCGCTGGCAAACTTTCCAGTTGAGCACTGGGTTCTGCAGCTTGAACCATGCACCCAGCGCCTTTGATCCACTCAGCAACCTTGCCTTCAGCTTTGCAATTCTCCAGAATTGGTGCGCCCTCCTCTCGGCGGGTGGAAAACGTGGAGATCACCTGTCAAACCGCACATGTCAGAAGCCCCTGACCCCCTACACGGCCATGTCCTGTCAGGTCAATTCATCTCGAACTTGAAGTCTCTCTGTTGGATACCACAGGCTCCACAAAAAAGACGCGGTGCAAGCAAGGCGACAGCTTGAAGCCGAAAAGTGCTGCAGCGGGCAGAGCTGACGCAAAAACCAAAACAATAAAACAA